CGGGGAGCTGAGGCACCGCCTTCGGCTAATCAGAGCTTTAGTGCTTGCTGAAGAAAGAGCAAAAATTAGATTAAAAGGATGATTTCTTTCAACTTACCTTACATGTCTGTGATTAGAATGGGGATGGTGAATTTTCAGGTGACATCATTGCCACTCATTTTTATCCACTTAGTAGCTTCCCAGGGAAAACAAGATTGGGAGATACTGTATTTTGCTTTTATTTTTATGTGAAAATAGTTTGGCTTCCAGGGATGGGTCCAGAGTCCCATTTGCGATCATTTTTGTTCCAAATACAATGATAGAAAGTTAATTTTTAGTTTCTTTTTTCAGATAACCCACTCATGATACTGAAATCTCTGTTACAAATACGGTATTTATTCATACACAATCACACCTGAACATGGTAAATGACCTTTTGGGTGAAAGGGTACATTTTTTTCCTCTGTGGACCCTATTAATCATCAGAGTGCTTTCTTGCTTTCTTTAAGAGATGTGTTTATTCTTTCATGCACTCAACAATAAATCAAGCAAGATGTTTTCTTGGTTTGCTTAAATTGTGTGGGATGCAATCTTTCCCCCGACGCATTCTTTCTCACTTCTGTAATTTATAACGAGGAACTGAATGGGACTTGAAGTGGATAAGAGAGGCTATTCTGTTGGTTTTCCACAAAAAACCAAGAAAATACACTGAGAGTGTTGAAAAATCATTGTCGACTATTTGGAAACTACCATCAGCATTAGATTTTGGCCAATGCTGGAATTTCATAATTAGTTTTATCCAACATAAATAGTTTGTGTCTGCCAATAGTGGGAAGTTATAAGTGAGGACATTTGCAGAGTTAAAATATGGCTGCATAACTGAATGCCTTTGAAATGCATTAGTGCAAGAGACCTTTTGGAAATACAGAAGGAAAAAATGATAAAAATAATGCTGAAGAAGTGAAGATTCCTGTTTTATTTCTAAATGTTTTAACTAAATCAAACAGACATTACAGTACTTTCACAAAATTATTTTACTGTTTCACAATACTGAAGGCAATAGAGGAATGGATGTCTTTCTGTCCATAAATTTTTCAGGCTGGTAAATGATCTCAGAAAAATCCAGTATTTGTAAAGCAGACCATGCAAGTCTTTGAAAATCACACTACAAAATGCAAACCAGCATGCTCATCTCCATAACAAGAAAACACAACTGCTTTTCCAAGCAAGGTTTAGTTTTAGTTCAGTGTTTTAGTATCATTTTATACATATAGCTGCTATAGTTGCTTTGTGAGTACAGAATAGACTACAGATACATTCAAGCGTGGAAGAAAGTAGTAGTACAATTCCGAAGTCAGTAGGAGGTATGAACTGCTGCGTTGCATGAAGCAAAATACCACTGGTCAGCACTGTGGAGTCAGCAGCTCCCACTGAGTTTCTGGAGGCACAGAAACGACTGGGTTATAAAAGGACAAGTAAGACTCCAGTCTCTGTGCAAAAGCAGCGCTTAGTTCAGAGTTCAATCAGTTGCCTGAAAAATGCAAAATAAAAGAGTGTTACGATACAGTGGTGTATATGCTACGACACGGAGTCCTGCTGTACTTTGAGCGTTGAATATATGGACTGCACTGCTCACCTTGCAATAAGACGTGGTGTGTGAAATCAGGGTCTGAGAGATACCTGCTGAGTTGTGGATGCCTGATAGACGTGTGTCCCTCCATTTCATGTCTTGGGGCATTTCATTGCTTGAATTGGCAGAAATCGCTGCATCTGGCTCTCAGGGAATTGCCTTCATGCAAGTCTCTTTCAGCCATGAGGTCCTGCCCGGGGGGGCTGGCCTGGCTTTGGTGCAGCACCAGCACATCCCTCGCCACGCTAGGGCACTCGGCACAAGGCATCGCTGTGTGCATGCAGATACGCCCTGGCCCTGCGCCTGCATCTGCAAGGCTCAAGCCCCTGAGTTCTGGTCTTGGCTGGGCTCGACCCTCTCCTGCAGGAGCCTAACTCTCCCACCCCCGTCGGAGGAATACAGACTAAAATGATCCTAAATTCCTAGAATAGGGTAGGATGAAACTACACCCTTACTTGCATGCTATTTTAAGAGTTAGGAAAACAGAAGTCCTAAGATTAAAAACATGTTCATTCTCTTCTGATTCCTACAGTACAATCTTAAAATGTTTTTTTTACACTTTTCAATGAATTTGCAGATCCCCTGTTCCTTGAGTAGCTTCCTCGTTATTATACCTGGCCTTGGATTTTCTAAGATCTTGCTAGGTATTGACATGGGGAATATGGGTCAAAACTCTTGTAATAAAATGTATATTTGTTTAAAATAAAATACTTCTTACACTGTGTCCCACTATTTTTGGTAGTTGTAATAGGAACTAGTCTGTGACATTGTAAACATATTTAGTGGATGGACAATTTAGGAGGAAACATATTGTACAATCTATACTGGGTATAGATCAACAAAACATGACAAATTTTAGCATTTTTCTCCATTGTGATGATACCACTTCGTACTCTTAAATACGGTGTCATGAGCTACTATTATTACTGTATACTCGTATAGCATTAGCTCCAGTTATTACGAGTTTCTCCATTATGTATTTTTTTGTTTAATTTAACTGCCATAAACACTTCTAAATGCTTGAAAATAAGTAAAAGACAAAAATATGAATAATTTGCAAGGAGTTTTTATCATGAAAAGAAATGTGGTCACATAGATGTATGTGAGTGTGTTCAGGTGAGCATACAGAAATCTAAAAAAGAAAGCTAGCTCTGGACTGATTACTTACTTTTTCATAATAACAATACTCAACCACTTTAAATAGAACCAATGATTAATTAATTATCTATTACTGATAGCTAAAACAGTTAATTACTGAGGGGAAGGACAATTCACCAAAGCAAAATGGATTCTGAGGCTTATGAAATTAAAACTGAGGCTTATTGGAATATGGCTAAGTAAAAGAACATCATAGAAAACAGATCTTTTTGTAGCATATTTATACCTTTGGCAAGGTAACTTGTTTGGTATGGTTTAGGCTTGGCATTTGGCCAGTACCAGTTGGGAAATGGTGGGGTAAATATTTCTTCACGAGTACAGACTTTTGAATGTGGAAGGAAGGGGGTTAGTACTGGAATATTTGTCATAATTTCATTAATTTACATTGTCAACATTTCCCTCTATAGCAGCCTTTTTGTTAGACAATAGGTGTTTTATACTGATTTGTTTGCTATATTTTGCTAAATAGAAGAAAGAGATTACCAACAGACTTAAAAATTGTTTCCTCTTACATCTTACTATATTCTTTAGTATTCATCTAATAATATACAAACTGATACATTTTCATTTGAGATTATTTTAGACGTTTCTAAACCAAGTGCAATTTTAACCCCAGTTGGGGGCTAACAATTCTTACAACCTACTAAGAACAGTAAAAGAACAAGACTTGTTTCCTCAACTCATTTGGTAATCTTTTTGTTTGTCCAATAACTCTGAAAAGTTAGAAATTCTCATTGGTCTCTCAAAAAGTGCACATTTAAAACTGAAGTCTCTAGGAGTGTTTTGCTTAGGTAGTCTTCAAATATCAGTCCCCGGAGATTTTATCCTGACTTATCCACTCTACATGCTTTGTAAATAGTACTCTATAAAAGAGAAGTTATTTTACAGGGTTTGGCAATAAATGTGAGCTACAGAACAGACTGTAGACACCTAATTGTAATTTTCAGGTTCCTCTGCAAAGATTTAGACACTCCAGGCACTTTCATTGACAAATGCTGCATCAGATGATTAGTTCAGTGGCTGTCAGAAGTTGATGGACCTGTGAATCTTCCCTTCTATGTCAGTGAAAATTGGTGTGAAACAGTGCCATTTCAGTTGAACAATTCCGGATAACAGTCCATAGATACTATTGGATTGTTTAATTTTTTCTGTAATACACCAGAAATTACTTGATTGCCTATTATTAAGTGCTAAATTGCTGTAAGGACTTTGGATTAGCAGATCAAAGTCCTGTGTAAATTTTTGAGGCAAACTCCCAAGAAGCAGACTGACCCACAGGAATACCTTCAGGTTTTGGTGTTGTGGAGTAACAAAAATGCATACAGGTATCACACCCAAATTTAGGAACTGAATGAGACCCTTAACGGGTATCATGGAGTACACAGGTCTCTACCATTAGCGTGCAGACATGGTGCTTTGGGTGTGATTCTTGAACTAATGTGAAAGGCTGAGCAAAATCAAGTACTTGCACGGGACAACTGCAGCTAAATTCCACACTAGGCTTTTTGATTGCTCTCAAGGGTATCCTACATCTGAAATAAATAGGAAATTCAGGTTTTTCATGAGTACCTGAGTGAGTCAGAGAAAGTTATGCCCAAATAGATACAGAGGTACTGACTCATCATTGCTCCACTTTTCATTACTTACTGAAGTGTTTAGAGCAGCTCTGCAATGGTTTGGTTATACTTGTATTCATCTTATACCCATGGCCATACAAAACCAATGTTCCTATCTCCTGTAGTTAGCTAGTACTATCAGGAGCCAAAATAGACCAGTTATACCTATCCATCAATGAACTGTGCTACCTCAAAAATCAAATTAGGATTAAAATGAGACATGTCTGGATTTGTTTTGTTGTTTTTTTTCTGATTCTTCTAAATTTTCATATTGCCATCAATAATGGCAGTTTGAATTTGTTCTTTATTCTGGTGATGCCAATTGCTCAGGAAGGACAATTCATTCCATTGCAGTCTCTCAGATGGTGGCATGATCACAGCTACTTCTGTAAACGTACTTTGCTTATTTATGGAGAGAGATGCATTCCCACTAGTACAGTCAAAAAAGTGAGAGTTAGGAACCTATATTTCTTTGAGTCACTGGACCTTAATCTGAGTTTTATGATACTTGATTTCCTGCCTCCCTGCTGTTCACTGGAATCTTCATTCCTAATTTGTTTCAGGAGTCCTTACCACAGTGTGTCAATCGTTAAACACCTAAGAACACTATTTCACAGCAAGTACTGAGGTTGAGCAGGCAGTGGCCAGCACTAGCTCATGAAAAATGTTAAGGAGAACGCTGTGGTTTCAGAGACAAGTAGGTGCCAAACACTTGGGGGAAGAAAAGAGGGAGCTGGCTATATATCAGTGAATTCTTTTCTGGAATTCACAATGCTCAAAGTGTTCAAAGCTAACAAAAGCTTTTGGAAGCAGTAGTAGAAGACTCACTGGGTCATGGAAAACTCAGGTTCAAAAAATGTGCTTTTGCCTGATTTGGAGCATAGACTTGAACCCAGGCTCTTCAGCCTCTGGTGAACACATGGTGGTACATCCAAGTGTTACACTCGGCTGCTTTAGGACATCCCAATGATATTCTGAACTGTTCCAGAGTACCAACTTCTACTAATTATGCTTTTCACCAAACAGCTGCAGGTACCTGTAAGTAGAGACGTAGTGAGAGAATGTATCTGTAAGCATAGCAATCCTGAAAGATAAAGTGGTACCCAGTGTCACAGAAAATGGTGACAGAACTAGAAACCACACATTCTCTATGTAAACCAGAATCTACCTTTATAAAAATGGACAGAATTTTCAAAGATGACTACTTATCACAACTTCAGGTGCATTCAGAAATCTTCACCACTATTTTATATTGCGGGTAATTTTATATAATGAGTGCCACATCATGCAAATAAAAAAAGAGAAGTGGGATGGCCCCCTCTCTTCCTCCTGCAGAGAAAGCCATTATTCTCTTCC